CCTTTGTTGGTACTGATATATGAAGCTACCATTTTTTCTATGTATGTTCAACTGCATCGTTTTGTTCATGAGGAAAAGTTTTTATGTGATGTCTCATGCCAAAGGATTATCAATTAATGGCTGTGTGTAGGCTCAGCCAGGGATATATTATGGGCAAGAGGTTGGCAGTGTGTCAAGCTTTGCACATGGAAGAGTACTTTCTCATCATGAAAATTTATATTTTAAGGGGCCGGTTCACAAAGGCTCCCCCCCTTGGCGAGATGATGACAAAGATGGGCATTACATATTTCAGTTGGGAGAGAATTTAACTACCCGCTGTAATCATGCTACTTTCCCATGCCAAAACATATATTTTAGTCTCCAATTGGATTTTTTTTCTTAACTCTTACTCCAAATGACTTTTTGTGTGCCCCTTCTTTGCCATAACAATTTTCTGAATTCTATTTGCGAATGAGAAGAGATGACTTCAAATTTATATTCTCTGGTTATCATGTAAAACAAAAATGAAGTCGATGAATTTTTTGGGTAATTTGTTTTGACATGTGATTTAAAGATCCAGTAGAAGTGTAAAACTGCTATTTCTGAAGTTAATTCCATTTTTTAAGCCAAATTAAAGTTTCAAGGTTAAATCTCAAAATGTCCTCTGAAATGAGGAAAAGGCATATTACATAGCCAGCTCTTTCCTACCCAATACCCTCTATTATTTGGTTCCCTCCTGTGTTAAAAAAATCTGCTCTACTCATTTGCAGTTCTAGTCAAACTTATCCTGAGTTAATTTCAAGGAATATGAATTAAATATTGGTTTCAAATGTTTAAGTAGTGTCATTGTTTTGTTTTATGCTTCTAACTTTTCTTTTTTGCAGATAAGATCCTCAGGAAGATTGGGGAAGGTAAGTATTGATACCACTTTGGTAAAGTTTCTATAAGTCTCTTTCCCTGTGAATTGTTCTTTTCAGATTACTGTTGTTGTTCTACAGGTACTTTTGGTCAAGTTCTGGAATGCTGGGATAGGGAACAGAGAGAATTGGTAGCCATAAAAATCATCAGAAGCATTAAAAAGTATCGTGAGGCAGCAATGGTAGAAGTTGATGTTCTTCAGCTGCTTGGAAGATATGATAGAAATGGCACTCGGTAAGTCCATATCAGTTTCATCTACTTGCATGGATTTTATTTCGAAGTTGTGATTAAAAGAGTTCATTCTTTGCAGTTGTGTTCAATTACGGAACTGGTTTGATTACCGTAACCATATATGTTTAGTAAGTATATTGTTAATTCATGGTAACCTCATTGCCCGGGATTTCGAAATTTTATGGGGACTTAAGGCTTGTCAATGAATTTAAATGGTCTTAACAGGTGTTTGAGAAGCTTGGACCAAGTTTATTCGATTTTCTACGGAAAAACAATTATCGCTCATTTCCAGTTGACCTAGTTCGTGAGATTGCCAGACAACTCTTGGAATGTGTAGCATGTGTGTAGTCAGATTCTGCCATTTATTTTTATCTTTGCCATCCCCGTGGCTTTGGGCTCTATAGGACCATTTTGAATGATATCTTTTTCTTTTAGCTACTGAGGTCTACCATACCTGTGTTGATGTGTTACTTATGTTTCAATCTTTCTATTAGCACACTGCTGTCTTTTCATGTTTACATGCATTTATGTTGAGCTAAAAGTTTTCTGGTTGGTTTCTGATATATTTAATATTTCTTTCTTTCTCATTTTATCAGTCATGCATGATATGCGACTAATACACACTGATCTGAAGCCTGAGAATATACTCTTTGTATCTCCAGACTGCATAAAAGTCCCTGACTATAAGGTACGCAATATTAACATTTGATGAATGAACTATGCAATTATGCATCTATGCCCCCACCTCTACAAAAGTAACAAAACAAAAACAAAGAGAAAGTCTAAGTTGTCAGTTCAGAAGTACAAAGCCAGCACATACTAGAACATGTAATCGAAAACACTTTATTTAGACCTTCTAGGAATAGTGCCCCCCACTAAATAAATAGTTAACTCTTTCTTTAAGTGGACTCTTTGATTGTATTTTACATGTGCAGGTCGCGCCATGGCCACCTAGAGATGGATCATTTTACAAGAGATTACCAAAATCGAATGCTATCAAGGTGATTGATTTTGGTAGTACGGCATATGAGCGCCATGATCACAATTATATTGTATCTACTAGACACTACCGCGCACCTGAGGTTATCCTTGGTAGATACTCTCTCCCCACCACCCCCCTTTTATGCAATGTGACCAACTGTTGTGCTCTGGTCATCTTTCTTCAAAACTGAACTTAAGTGCTTGTCTTTCGTCAAAACTGAACTGAATTTCTTATCTCAATTTAGGTCTTGGATGGAGTTACCCTTGTGACATGTGGAGTATTGGTTGTATATTGGTGGAACTATGCTCGGTAAATAAGAGTTCACTTTTTTTTCTGATGCCGAACGAGAGCATGATCCTACTCGTTTAAAGAAACCAGAAATATATCTCGTGTTTTTCTTTTTTAGGGTGAAGCTTTGTTCCAAACACATGAGAACTTAGAGCACCTTGCCATGATGGAGAGGGTTTTGGGTCCTTTCCCACCTCACATTTTGAAAAGAGTGGAGTGAGTATTCTTTTGTTCAGAAGGTTCATAAATATTAGCATTGTTTTCCATTGTATCCTGCATATTCTTGACTTTGTCGTGTTGCTGATTGGTTTAGTCGACATGCTGAGAAATATGTGAAAAGGGGTAGACTTGACTGGCCTGAAGGTGCAACCTCGAGAGATAGCATTAAGTCTGTTATGAAATTACCCCGCCTTCAGGTAAATTCTAGACACTCGCTGTTTAGCTGTCGCTTGGTAACACAGCTGTTTTTTTATTTTTGTTCACTTCTATGGAAACTGAAAACAAGTAAATACATTTGACAGCAGTGTTTTTATTTTCCTTTTTTGAAACTAGAAAAAAGGGAAAATTCCAAAAATAGGAGTAAAAACATTTGGGAATTCCAAAATAGGAGTGCTATGTTTTCCCCTAAATAAGAGTATGTTACTGTCTTCCTTTAAACACAGCAGTATACTGTCAAAGTAGTGTACTGTCAAATGCAGCACTATTTTCCAAGCTTTGCTGTAGTTACTCCTATTTAGGGAATTAGGAAATAAAAAAACAGCGTTCCTATTTTGAAATTCCCAAACGTTTTTACCCCTATTTAGGGCAATTTCTTAAAACAAGACCTTGAAACATGCATTTATTGTTTTGATTGTTTGAAAGCATGTTTCGCATTGACGCTGATTACATACATATAGAATTTCTCAGTAGTACATTTTCGTGATAACTAATATTACCTCCGTTCCTTTTTAATTGCAACATTGGTGTGTTTAGCACAATTCACATACTCTACCTTGACTACATTTTATTTATTAATGTATTATAAATTAATTTTTTGAAATATATTGTTAAATTCCTTTAATTTTAAATTTTCAAAATAAGTTATCTTTATTTTATTTTACTAATAAGAAATGAAATATATTAATGGTCAAACTTGTGCGTTGGCAAATGTGAAAAATGCACCGTTGCAATTTAAAGAGAACGGAGGAAGTACGTAGTATAAACTTACACATCCACAACAGATTTACCAAGCATGTTTTGTACTTTTTGGCATAGCCATATATTGAGATGAAATCTTCTTTTATGCAGAATTTGGTGATGCAGCAGGTTGATCATTCAGCAGGTGATCTTATAGACCTCCTGCAAGGGCTTCTCCGATATGATCCTTCAATCAGGATGACAGCTCGTAACGCACTTAAGCATCCTTTTTTCACTTGCGATCAATTAAGGAGGTCATAAGGGCATTGTGGGTGATTTCTTGCCTCTTAGGTGCCCATTGCAGTCCACCTGATATTTATGAGGATTGCATGAAAGGTGGAATTGTCGTGCCAATTCTTGCGTGTGTAAATATTGCATCACGAGAAGTCATTCAGTTCGATGTTGGGATATTGTGTTTCTGCTGTTGTGCCAGCATAAGTTTTGTAAGGGCATTTTTTCCTCCCTGAAATTGGATCTTCTACTTATTTACTAGATGTAAAATCACTCAGTGTGTAAGTCTATTTAATAATAAAGCATATCCACTCTTTTCTCTACCGTCTACTTGCATTTATTTTCTGTATTTTGCAAGTTGTGCTTAACTGCTTATTATAAAAGCATTGTTTGAACTTTGAACTAATAGTTGTTAAAAATCTTATACCCACAACAGTTCGTCCCCAAGCCAATAGTTATGTCGTGTAATCAGGCTGTTTTTAACATGTTGCCATGTTTCATTATTGAAGTGGATGTGATCGACGTGATTGAGTTAAAATAACACGGAGTATTACAAATGTTAGGTGGTGTTTGCTTGTGTTCGTGAAAAGCTCTCTTTTTTGAAGTTATGAACTGTTTAACCATAAAAGTTATTTGTGTTTGTAAATGAAGTGATTTTAAAGTAGAAGTGTTTTGTGTGGTAAAAGATTTTGTTTTGGTGAATTCTTTTGGTAAAATGAAACTTTTAAGCATCATTTCCCTATTTATAGGTTCTAGCATTAAAGTTTCAAAATTTAAGAGAAATACCAATTTAAGTGAAAAAATGTTGAAGTGTTTTTTGTTGTCAATTATTTCCGCTACATTACATTGATGACCATGCATAAATGTCCCTTTTTAGTACATTATGTGCTCTCCATTTCGTCAAATTAGTCTACACTTCAAGGTTCCGAGCAAGTTCTAATTCGCACGGTGCTATTTGACGACTAAATGTTGATTAAACTTCCAAAAATAAATATAGGCAAATAGCACAAACGTGACGTGGCAACCATTCAGTGCTTAGAATATAGGAAAAGTTCAGAGTGGCAAGATACTTTCATGATTCATTACACCCATCATAGATCATTTACCCATTTACATCACAAGGTCTAGAAAAAAAATTCTTTTACTCGAGACATGCATTTCATTTACATTAATCACAAGTCATTTACACCAAGGATAAGTCTCATTTACACAATAATAAGTCCAAGGAAAGGAAGATGACAATTAATGGATGTACCGATGTAAAATTTAACAATAGAGACCAACTGAGGGTGAAATAGAAAACCATTCAAGAAGTGGGAAATAGGATTAGCATTTACGGAGTATAAAATCTGTAAATGCTACTATTCAGACATCATTCACCTAGTTGCATCTACTATTTCAAAGGTCTTCACTCATCTGTCTACTATTTTATTTTGGGGTTGTCCCACTTAACCCTGATTGATCCCGACTAAACATGCATAGGCGCTAGACCCTAATCTATTGTGTAGGTGCCTCCTAACGCTTTTGGAATACGCGCTCTCATAAACTGTCATGTTTTTTTTTGGGACAAAGGGAGTGATAAAATGTTGTGGGGAAACTTGTATTGTTCAAAGAGTGAAAAACACATAAGCATGGAATAAAAAAATGAAGCAGAAAATGAGACTACACTTGGTTCAAGTCCTAGAACTATTTTAAAAACGTAATTTTGAAAAAGAAAAATTAAAATGTGTTTGTCATGACTCATGAGCATGTTTTAACGCTTGGTTGTGCAACTTCTGGCAACCAAGGCACCAGGAGGAGGGTAAGTAAGGACAATGGTGCAATAGGCATGGAGCCAATATGAGTACTTAATAAGGCCAGTAGATCTGGTTCTGAAAGTGCCCTTCACCTGAAACCACACACTCCCACTTTCCATCTGCTTGCTTATGAGGCTGCTAGCGTTCGACGGGAGCCCGACTTGGCCCGCTGCGAGGTGAACATCTTGGAACTTGTACTCACCATGCGTGAGAGGGAAAGAAAGCATGTTAGAGGATGCTATCTGTGTTCCATCATAGTACAGATTCACCATTGAGTCCTTCAACTCCACACTCCCTCTCTTGTTTGGGTTACTAAAGTTCCCTAGTAGAGTGAGGTCAACACTGAGGAGGTTTCCCGTGTCGAGAGAGACTGTGTTTAGATTGACGCTTGATACATCAAACTTCAAGCTTCGGGGCTGATTGACAACAAGTAACACTACGAGGAGTACCAGGCCTAATACAACAAGTGAGCAACATGCAAGCCATGCACATGGTGTGGCGGTTTTACTTTTGCTCCAACCTGTTGGAGGCCGTGTTTGTGAAGGCTGATAGCGTTCTCGTCGGTGGTCAGGATAAGCTGGCTGGGTCCCAGCACGAAAACCACCGCGGCCAGAAGGTGGTAGAGGGAGTCTTCTGTCTGACCCATCTTGATAAGGAAAATCGGAGGCATTTTCCGGGACCGATGATTGATGATGATTAGGAGGAAGAAAAGGTTGTGGTGACGGTGGAACCGGGGATTTATGTGATATTGGCGGCGGCATCTCGTACCCTGGTCTGTTGGGCTGTTGATGGGATGGGAGTGGTCGGGACCTTGTCTGAATATTGGCAAGCCCCGGCCTACGAGGCGTGTTTGGTGTTTCATAGTCATTCGAGTCATGGAAATGGGGATTGTTGTCGTACCGGGACATACTGGGAAATGGGAACAAGAGGGGATAGATCTTGGGATGGAAGTGAATCATCAGGGAAGAAGGATACTTAAAACAGAAGCATATAGCCGCAGTTTGTCTTGAGAAAGCAAAGAATAAGATATTTGCAAACCATTCAAGGCAAGTGATCCTCACGAGTCACGACGCACCACTTTCCCTTTAAGATCTGTTTGGATGGAACTATGGAAGGCTTAGGAAGATTTGTCTATATCTGAACAAAAAAAACTGTTATAAAAATAGATCCAATGTGAAATTGATAATTCAGTCATCTTTATTACTCCGTATGTCTTTATAAGTATGCATCTTTGGCCAATGGCCAAACTGACCAATAAATACATTTAAAATAGACTGGGTTAGAACAAAATTACCCTAGCAGGCTAGCACGACTAGTTGTAGATGTAAATTGACATTTCAATCTTATAAATCGTGTCATCGCCTCATAGGTTTAGTACTTCATTATGAAGAATTTATATTGGGTTGGGATAATTTTAATTTTTAACTACTCTTTTGAGTTTTGACCCAATTTGACCAATAAGTAGATTTATAGTGCTCAAGGAAAAAATCAGAATAGCGTACTATACCACACGTATGGATGTTGATCTTTCAACTTTTATAAAAGTTCAAACATACTCCGTATATCAAGACATTAGACAAGCCCTACATCCAAATAGGCCCTTGGTGTTTGCTTCAATGTTGCACACAACTTATTCCTTGTTCTTCTGGATGCCAACAACATAAAACTTTTCACTCCCTGAAGGCCAGAAGAAAGATCAACAAATCCCATCATCTTTATAAAACACTAAGATACAAAAAACATGTACCCTTTTCGAATTTCCAAGATCCACTCAGACCATGCAATGTTCCAATATTACATTAACAAACCGCTTGAAGCAGTTCAGTAGGAGAAATTAGAGAGCAACTTGTTGGCAAAAAAAACAAGACAGCTTAGGGAACCCAGTCATGGGGAGCAAAACAAAGTCAACCCTGATACATTTAGTTACTGTTTCGTTGGAAACCCACAGAAGGGCTGCCCTTCTCCATTCGGCAAAAAAACAGTAACATCAGTCATCAGTTGATGGAAAAACAGATCCATTTTACTATTTTGCCTCATATCTGATTTTTAGATCTTAGAAGAGCCATTGTCGGGCCTAAAGCACTGCCTCTCAGCGATTTATAGGACCAAGTCTTGCCTGAACTCTCCCTATCGCAGTTAGTTTCCTGGGAAAGTTGTTGCTTTTTTGCATTTAGAGCTTCACTGATTTGTTCCCATGGATCTACATTGTTATCTATAGATAAGGAAATGCCAACATTTTAAGAGGGACGTGGAGTCAAATTTTATACAATTGATGCAAATGGGAGCACAGATAGTACCTTCAATGATGACAGAATTTTCTTCACTGTCATTGATCAAATTTTTGTTTTCTGCAAAACAGTAAACCATGTTGTGAGAAGGGAAGGTAAAAAATGTTTAGCCTTCCCCCCCAAATATAGCAAATCTGTTTATAGCCCCTCAGAATATAGAAAAATTGTTTCTAGCCCCTCCAGAGGGACTTTGTTGACTAGCATCAGCTGATTTTCTGTTAATTGAAGGGTGATATGGCAGAAAGAAAAACTGAGGCAGCGGTAAAATATGTTACTAGTCCCCTTATAATAAGGCTCATTTGGTCACCCCCTTCATCGGAAGGAAAGAGGAGACGGGGATGGGAATAAATGGGATAGAAAAATAAAATACCAATAAACATCACTACTTTACCCTCCCTTTCTGCCACATGACCGTTCACCTAACGGAAAATCAATGAAGGTAACACATTCATCACCACTCCATTAATGTGGGTCCAAAAAACTTACATGTCTTAAAGACGGGACTTCAAATAAATTTTGTTACATCTTGAGGGATGATAGCATACTTTACCCACTAATACAAAAAGCAACCAGCTGAAATGTTCATACCAGTTGGAATGGGAGCGGGTGTTTGCACATCAGCCGTGCGTTTCAACAAGGTAGTATTATCTCCAGCCACACCACCACTGGAGCTAACAGGGACTCTCATTTTATGTTGCAAAATACGAACTTCAGCTAGTGCAGAAAATTCTATCTGCATGCAGATTATAGTTCAAATATTGAGCAGTGGGCCAGATGCTAGTCTGCTACTAGGCTGAGGTTAGGAGAACAATGATATTATGTTGTGTGTAATTCTCTATTTTTATTCTTTGGGGGGAGGGGTTGACTTGTTTACTTTCTTTACCTCCAAAGATCCGTCCTCTTTATAGTTTGCAACAGGTTGCATTGAAGACTCATCATCTCCATCAGACTTCTTACAAAGGATTGGAAACTCAGGGACTGGCATCAATGAAACCACACCTAATTGTGAATCATAGGATGATACTTCCCCAACCTTCAACAGAAGAGAACATAAGTATACTATTGATGTTATTCTATGTATGCATGAAAAAAGTAGCAAAACCCAAACCAATGTGAGAAAATACCCGATAGGAGGATAGCTCAGGTGTCCAGGTGGATGATAGTTCAAGAAACCGATATGCAATCACATCACCTTGCTAAAATTTCAAATAATCAGGAGAAATAAAAAAAATTTCAAGGCCACAAAGCCATTCATATGATTATAGTAATTATAAATGTAGGGGCTGTATCAAGATTTTCGTTTTATATCCAAGTCATTAAAAAAGAAATGAAATTCCCATTCGAGTGATCCATTTTTTGAAAGCACAAAAATATGTCATCAATAAAATGAAGTTATGAACACACCTTTAAAGAGCCGGAGAGGAACGGAAGTTCAGTAAAGTCAAATGGCTCATTAGAATGATTTAATATTTTAGCATTAGGCATTTCTGATTGTTTTCTATTTGAATAATTAACTTCATTTCTTTGAGTGAATGAAGATTTCTCTGTGCCCCATTTCTGACCCCTTCTCTTGCTGGTGATTCCATTCCACTGGAAACTTTCCTGGAGCAGAAGTTGCACATCATCTGAGTCTTAACAAGAAGATAAAGAGTCCCTCTAACAAGGATAGTATAATGAAAATAAAAGGAATAGAGTAGTGCTAAAGAGTACAATATCTCAAAGAAATTATACAACTTAAAGCAGTACTCCAGTACAATTAATGGAGATGCTTTTGTGCCATCAGGTTTTCAGCAAGTGAGAAGACACTCACACTTCCACATTCTAAACTATAAAATAATTCGTTCTGATTCATGAATAAGATAGAGCAATTTTATCTTAAATGGGAACAACATACCACCACATTCAATTGATTTGGTTCCATAGTTCGTTCTGCATCACAGAGAAGTACTTCACATGTTAGCAAATATCATGCACCATTCAATAGATTTTCAAGAGATGAAGCTGTATTTCAGTCATATGCAGAGAAAAGCGCTAATACTGTCATTCTATAGAGCCTTTTTTCCTCGAATATCAATTTGAGTAGCTATAAAGAAGAAAATTGTAACGGAGTTGAACTCCAATTCTTGTCTTCCAAGCATAAAACAAAGTAAACTAACTAATCAGGATAGAGAAGAACTGAGGAAGTATATGAACAGTGCCAGGATATGCAATAGACCTTTTCCAAGAGGCTCAAATCGGAAATGTCCAGGCCTTATTTCAACAGGAACAACTTCAGTTTCATCATCGCTATCTCCATCTTGATTTGGTTTGTCACAGGAATTGTTTTTGGCGCCTGATTCTATATGTTCCTTGGCATCTTTAACCATATCATTGATAGGCAAGTCAACCGAGTGTAGCTGCAAATATGTCATCTTAATTTCAGACAGGAATGGCATGTAAGTCACAGAATAAGAAGCAAGTGTAGTTTTGTTACTCACAAGTCCCTTTAGTTGATATGAGGCCTCCCCTCTTTCAGGTGTACTTTGTCCCTGCACCAAATTTGATGCACATTTTGGATATAATGACACTTGTACCAAAGTTTTTGACAAACCATAAATTGATTACTCATGTAGGGCTCATATGGTAACATTTCCTGATTTTAAGTATTTATCTTTTCTGCTTTCAGACATTGCTTTGTTTTATTTTCAGATATCTAAAATTTGGAACTTGTTTAATAGGTCTGATTGTATGATTTTACGGCATTTTTATTAGAAAAAACAAAACATGGTCAAAATCGGAATACATGTTTCCAAAACAATGAATACTATAAATATCTTGTTTCTAACCATTCCCAAGAAATTCATTTTTTACTTCGGAAGCAGAAGACAAAAACACTACTGCTGAACATGCTTTTAACTTTTATGTTTACAAAAAGTGAAGACAAAAATAGAACTAATCAAAACCTTAGTAACTCACATTCCCTACTCTTAACCCTCTCCTTTTTTCACTGTGGTCTAATTATGTGTACTGTTTCTCTGGAAATTCAGGATATAACTGCTCAAGAAATGGATAGTGGTTATTGTCACTGACATGAGTGAAACTGTTGGCATTTTAGTAACTCACATGTATTTCCAACCAGTTTGGCTTAACATTTTACTATTTTAAGATATAACTTGTCAAAGAATGAATAAACACGGAGCACTTGACTCACAAAAAGTATGAACATTCAGTAACTCACACACTCATTTTGTTGACCACCACCACCCTCTTCACTCCTTAGGCTATCCGCAATGCAAGGGAGTGAAAACCCAAATTTGATGTTTTCACCCCAATTTGAGCTGCAACCCAAGCCAAAATGAGTATAGCAAGGTCTTATAGTGGGTTGGGGAAACCCCTTGCGTGGGGATATAGCCGCCGGATTGAGTCTTGGAGAGAGAGAAAAATAGTTTCCTCGGTGTGCCAAGCAAAGAAAAAAATGTGAGCTCCTTGAAAGATAGAAATCCCATTTTTTTTTTAAAATGGTATAACCTTTTTATTAATGATTCAATTTTTATAAATAATATCAAAATTTATAACTTTTTATTATCTTTCATATGACACCAATATCAAATATATATATAATTAAAAAAATATGATGATTTATCTGATGGAGATCTTTAGACTCAAAATTATTCTTAAGT